GAAACTATCTCTTTTCAGGAACATGAATATGTGAATATATAAATGCCAGTTTGTATATCTTCTAAAAAGGGAACTTCCAAGGTTAAGAATATTTGTTCTAGGGGCATCTTGGCAAATGATAGCACTTTTCTGATTCATAGTTTTAGATATGCTCATTAAAAAAATCCAACAGTTCCATCATTTTCAGCTTAAATCCATACATATACAATTCTATGTAGATATGTATGACTGACTATATCTAAAGAGGTATACTTTTTGAAAATTCTGTCTTACTGAGTTTTCACTTCATTTTAAATGTTCTTTATACCTCTTACAACTTTTCTAAATGAGAGAATAATTCTTAAATTACAAAGATGTTTCTTTTTCCACTCTTGTTCTTCTTGAAAGCACATCTATATATAGACCTTAGACTTCAAAATTTGATTTAAAATTTGCATCTGAAAAAATTCTTCAAGTAAGACATTGACCTTAAAGATTTTGAAAGTCAGAATCTGCATATAAATTTAGCTTTGGCTTCTGCTATTAAAAATATATTGAATTTTAGAATTGGGTGATAACTGTTTTACATTTTTTAATATTGCCAAATGATAAACTTTAGAACTAAAAAATGAAAATCCATGGTGCTACAAGAATCTAACATATCCAACTACATTTCTTATGGTAGTTTATAGAACTTGTATAGAATTCCTCAGCAATTTAGTGACTCTAGACCCTACTGTCTTCACTTGCTTAGGTTATCATTACAAAATTCCATACACAGAATAGCTTGTAAACAAAACAAGTTTATATACTACAATTTTGGAAAATGGAAGGCCAAGAATAAGGACTGGCAAATTCAGTGTCTAATGGGGGCTCACTTTCGAGTTCATACACGGCATTTCTGAAGTTCTATTCTCACATAGTAGAAGAAGAGGGGACTCTTTCAAAACACCTTTCATAAAGATACCAATGTGAATTATGATGACTCCATGTTCTTGACCTAATCACTTCATGAAAGTCCCACTCCCATTTGCTATCATTTTAAATATTGGTATTTTAGCATATCCATTGTGGAGAGGCTCATAGCATGTAGATCATAACAACTGGACATATATTCCTTCTGTCAATATGAATTATTTTATGTACATACAGTTATAGACAGACAGTACAGCTTTCATTGACCTCTAAACAGAAAACTGCACTGTTATTTTAGATTACATTCTTTATGAATGAGATCTAGTCTTCTGAAAGTTAATGAGGCTGAGAATTCAAGTAGCCATTTTACCAGAGTGACTTCAAGGGGCAGAATCTTCTAGAGCTGCCTGGTTTGTGGATGCTGTCAAGAGCTTATGACTTTCATCCCACTTTATTGACAAATGTGAAGATTGAACCCATTCTGGAGAAAAGGCACACAAACAAAACTAAATAGATTTGGTATATATTAATATTAGTCATCACACAAAGACATTTACATTGGTGTTCACATATTTATTTCTAAGTCATCTGGTCTTTCCCATATTTTCTTATATGAGGATATCTGATCTAAATACAATACTATATTTAGTAGTGTTAAATAATTGTTCAAATTGGTGCATGTATTAAACAAAATACATTAGACTAATTATATATAGGGCTCATAATAATCTCAGAAGGTGCTTTAGTCATATGAAAACAACTCTCTAAGAAAACTGAAATTAAGTAGAACTAATTTGCTAAAGATACATATGGGTAACCAAAAAGGTATGATGCAGTTATTTAATTTTTCAGATGATTTTCCCTCAACTTATATGACCCAATTTACCACTACCTTGTAAAATCATCTTTTAAAAGACATTTCTGAGCCTGAGTGTGACAGCACACGCCTGTAATCCCAGAACTGGGTAGGCTGAGGGAGGAGAATCCTAAATTCCAACCTGCCTAAAGCTACATGGCAAGACCTTATCTCAAAAGAAAAACAAAACAAAAGACATTTCTTAAGAATGTTTAGTAATGTAAGTTTGTGTCATGTAATGTTTGTGTAATGTAAGTTAGGACTATAAGTAAGAAAGCATAATAGACTATTGTTTAGTCTAAATGAGTAAATTTCTAATACAAATAAAATCTTAGAAGGAATTGGGAGGAAGATGGTGGAAGAGAAGATTGCTCTCTTAGGACCCTGTAATCCCACTTCTGACATTTACCCAAATGACCACAAACAAGGCCACATTAAAGCTACCAGCACAACTATGTTTATCACAGCATTATTCATCATGGCTAAGATATGGAACCAACACAGATGCCCCTCAGGTAGATGCATTCATCTACTGATCAAGAAAATATGATACACACACACACACACACACACATACACACACACACTGGAATTGTGTGAATGACACCACCCCATTTGTAGGGAAATGGAAAGACTTGGAAAAAATCATATTAAGTGAAGTAAGCCAGACCTAAAGAAATATAGGTCCCGTGGTCTCCCTTATTTGTAATGATTAGTATACATTTAGTACAATATTAGCAGATGAGCAGAATAGCTCAATAATTATGTACGTAAGATCATATAAGATGATGCTAAGTGAAATGAACTCTAAGACTTGGACACAAGTTGTTGTTGTTTTCAATGTGCTATGTGATTTTTTTGTTTATTTTGTATGTTCTGCCCATTAATGTATATCCCCTGTTGTCACTGTATTTAATTTTGGTACCCTGGGTATCGTATATACATTTATTTGAACTAGGGAAGGGGAACAACAAAATGGTGAGACAAAGAACAAAGAGGGAACCAATGCAACAGCAATATTCACAAGACAGTATGTTGAAAATGATCTGTACAACTTGCGGGGGGGCGGGAATTGAGGGATGGAAAAAGGGAGAAAAAATGAGAGAAGGGGTAGCAAATTAGACAAGAAATGTAAACACTACCTTACTTATGTAACTGTAACCCCTCTGTCTATCACCTTGACAATAATTTTTTTTAATCATAGATAATTCTAAAATGTAAATGTTGAAAGGAATAAAATGTGTGTAGGACTACATGTCAAATGATAAGATTTTCTATAAACAAGTAAAGCTAAAATACTTCTAAATTTAACATTTACCCAGGCACAGCTAGCTCTTTTTTTCATTGTTTATTTTCAGTGTCAATGCAGGAAAAACAAAGATTGAAGGTATTTTTTTGTTTTAATCTATATGCAAGCTCCAAAATTAAAAAGGCCTATTTTAATGGGAGCTAGTTTAAACCAATTTGACATGAGGGAGATAATACTTGGGAAAATGTGTCTGTGCTCTGTTTTGCTCCCAAATTTTGACTTTTAAACTTATTGTCAAGTCTTAAGAAAAAAACAAGAAACAGTGCAGATAATTAAACATTTGCCTTGAGGGAATTATTTGCAGTTAATTAAAACTGTACACTTTGGGTGTATATTTGCTTCACTGGTTATTAAATTTGAATCATATGTTAACTACCCAGGTTTCTTACTTGTCCATCAAAAAATGTTGCTTCTGGCAAATTGAAGAAATAAGCTTTCTCATAATACACTGAACCATAATGTTTGATGCTATCTCCAAATTTTGAGAAAAAAAGAGAGAGAAAGGGAGTGAGGAGAGAAAAGGAAACCCAGAATGATTTCTTTTAGAGCCCATTTTGTTTGGTTATATTAGAAAGTTAGAACTCAATGGGGAGGTGCAAACCCGGAAGAGATGCAATCAATTTGTTGGTAATTCAGGTCTAAATAAGTCTGCAGTCCATGTGTTTTTCTATAGCCACAAAGCAGGTAACTTCAATATCTTTAAATTACTTTCCTTTGCTACATTTAAAAGCAAAATAAGGTGCCAATGGCTCACTCAGATAATCCTAGCTACTTAGGATGCTGAGATCTGAGAATCTGGTTGGAAGCAGCTCAGGCAGGAAAAGACCATGAGACTCTTATCTCCAATTAACTACCAGAAAACCAGAAGTGGTGCTGTGGCTCAAATTGGTAGAGGACTAGCCTTGATCAAAAAAGCTCAGAGTCAGTGCTGAGGCCCTGAGTTCAAGCCCTAAGAAAGTCCAAAAAAAAAATTGATAGGATCATAAGCTTCAAGAGGGCAGAGATTGAGTCATTGTTTCCAATTGACTCCTTGGAGTCCAGAGTAGTATCTGACATTGTTTTTATTATGGTGCATTTTGTTTTTAATTTTTATTGTAAAGGTGATATACAAAGAAGTTACCGTTATATAAGTCCAAAAAGGAGTACATTTCTTTTTGAACAGTGTTACCCACTTTTATTAGTTTTATATCAATACACGTGATTTCTGTACTCCTGCTGTCCTATTCACAGGCTGGCTCATTTTAATCTTTATTAAAGAACTTTCAGGGAAACTTCAAACTTCTAGCTTTGCAATAGCTTGTTCATCATCATTAAATCCTCTTACCTACATTATTTCCTGTGTAATGTGTACTATACAATATGTAATGTAACCAAAAAAAAAAGATGAGCCTATGTTGATTCCACAATTAGAAGTACTACAAGAAGGATGGAATGACATTGCATGGAACAGCAGGTCAGCATTCCCTTGTTGGTCTTATGCAACTGGCATACATCATGGCGAAAAGAAGCTTAATTACCACTAGATTTCTGAGGGGCTGAATCTGACTTTTCAAGGACTCAGGCACCCATCTGTGGATGACTCTAGTACTGGAAACAGTAAGAGCAGAAAAATTAGATATTCCTTTAATTTTCTCTATTTTGCTTTCTTTTTATATCCTTTGCCACAATTCTAAGGCTTTCACTGATGCATGAAGCTTGCTTTGTAATATTTTGTCTCTTAAAAAATGCTACAACTAAATTTTCTACCTTTGAAAGTTTTGTGCATATATCTTGGGTAATATGTTAAGAAAATATTATTTATTCATGAAGACACTTGACTGTTCTCATGTTTATGTTTTTAAATAAATTCTCTCTCCCCAAGCATAAACCTACCATATTAATGCTGGAACCTGCTTTTCCACCATAAAATGCTCATTAAAATTTTTCCTTCTCTGTTGTCAGATTCTGCAAAGGATGACAACATTATAAAAGATGATGAAGTAGCAGATCATTCTGAGTGTGACCAAGATCATCCCAATGGTAAGTTCTGAGAAAATTTTCAGGGATTTTTTTGTACTAGAAATATATCTCAGAAAACAGATTTGAGCTTTTCTGGGCGGGAACATTGTGTAAGTGCTGAATACTGGCTGATTGGCAGCTGCCATCTTGGGAGATGGGGGATTTTCCACAATACCCATCACTCATTAGTTTTGATTTAGTCTGCCTTCATTTGTTTTTATTATTCTTACCTGCCTGGATTCTATAAACATTGGGATAGGTAACTATTGAAATAAATATATGATAAGAATGAAAATAAATGTGAGACATATGGAGCATAAACCCAGGAGATTAGATCTACATACCCTTGGAATACAAAAAGAAGAAAAAAGGAGAATACAACCAGTAGAAATGAAACAATCTTAAGAAAAAAAAGTTTTGCTAATGCAAACCACGTTCTCTGCCCCAAACATGGGAATACACATTATATTTAGGGGCAAAAATAATGAAAACTCAAATAAGAACAGACACCTACATAGCCTCATGGAATTTCTCAAGATCACAGATAAAGGAAGGCTTTTAAAGTATACAAGAAAGCCAGAATCCAGTTATAAGCAATATCACCAGAATCCATTGAGCCTTAACCCTCCTCCACAAACCTAAATGCTCAGAGAAAATGGAATAACATCTTCAGAGCTCTAAAAGACAGTTTCTATATTTAGTGAAGTTAATATTCATGCATAAAGTCAAGTGTAATATTTTCTCAGGATTACAAAGATTAAGAAAATGTGCTTCCCAGGTATCCTTTCTGAGTAAACTAATCAAAAGCCCATACTCAGCAGTAACTCATAAATGCAGTAAAGAAGTAAAAATCCAAGATTGGGAAAGGCATAATTGGAAGTGACTATAGAATAAAGAACTAATTGAATGTATGAACATATTAAAATTATTATTTCAAGATTAGTATCAAATATTTTAAGTATTTTTCATCTTCAAAATATATAGCATATGTTTTTTAAAAATAAAAACAAGATTAGGGATTGCTGTACAATAACAGAAGTCAAAATAATTTAGACCATGTATCTCATTAGCAGCAAATAAACAAACTAGACAAGGTAATATGTGTATGTGTTCATATTATGTATAATTTGATTATATATCATATAGCTTCCTATTATATATGTGGGTAACGTAAGCATTATATATTATAAGATATGCAATAGATTATTCACAAATATTTTGTATGTAAATACAGACATATATGATGTCAAGAGACTGTTTAAAGGCATCAGAGAGCAAACAAGGTAATAAAACTTGTCAAGCAAGATTTTAGGAGGAAAAAATTTCCATATATGGAAGCCTAGAATTTAGAACCATTTTTATCTTAGGACATTTTCTGATTTTGCAGAAAGTACCTCAAATCCCATTGGTAAAAGGACAAGAGACCTAACAGCCACTATGCATTTGGGGCAGGATTCACCCTAGCAGGAAGACTGAGGCAGCATTAGCTCTACCTTCTAAAGCCTGTGGCTCACCTTCAACTCATCTCAATCTTCAGATTAAACTAAGACCAGCCCAGACTACTAGTTCCCCCCAAGAAACCTGAAAAGAAGTAAAATATTTACCAGAGGGGAAAAAAGTCTAGCATATTGCAAATAATATTTATGAATAATTTGTGAGATATGCCTAGCACACACATAAAAATTTCTAGACAAAAGAATTAGGAAACAAGGCAACATGAAAGAAAAGGATGAGAGAAGGAAACCTGTGTGAGATGAAAATAATAGGTATAGACACAAAGCGTGAAACAATCATGCTCACCATGCATTATAGAGATAAAAGTAAGATAGAAAATTTTAACTGAGACCTGAATATGAAAACCAAAAGGAAAAAGAAATCTAGGAGCAATAGATGGTATAATTCAAATTAATAATTCAAGGAACAGATCTATGATTGAACAAAATTTTAGGCACAAAAAGGATAGGCCCAACATTAAAAACAGTGGAATAAAACATTACAGATACTGGAAAGATCCTGAGGATAACATGCGAAGACAAAATCCATCCCAAAGTAAAAGAGACATGCTCAGGAGCAACATTTAAAGAAAATAGAGTGAGAAATTTCCTACATTGATAAAGGACATGGGCCAAATGTTCCCACATCTCTTTGAACTCTATGCAGAATAAATAAAAATAAATCCAAACTAGACCCATTAAAGCAAAACTGCTAAAAGCCAAAGATAAAATGAACATCTAAAAAGCAATCTTCAAACAATTCCTTGGGCTGATAACTGGCTTTCTAATAGGTATAATGGAAATAAAAAGACAACATAGCAAAAGAGCTATCAACAAAGGAGAATCAATCAGGAGCCAAAAAACATGTTTCAAGAATAAAAGTTAACTACAGATACTTCAATAGAAAAAGTGCGGCTCATCACTAGAAATTTCAGGTATTCTATAGGTAAAGAAATATTAAATCCATGTAATTAAGGATACATGAAAGAATTAAGAACACAGTAAATGATGATTATTGAATGAGTCTAAGTAAATATTGATAGTATAAATCGACAATGATCATAATAATAATGCCTTTTGCAGGAGTTGAGCTATATCATTAAAGAACTGTATTTATTTAATTAGATAAATTAAATGTATGTGTGTTCCAATGTTTCTGCAGTGTCGTGGAAGGTAAAACTACCGATTAAGATTCAGTTTCCTAAGCCAAGCACCAGTGGCTCATGCCTATAATGGTAACTACTTAGGAGGTTCAAAGCCATTCCTGGCAGGAAAGTCTCTAAGAATCTTAGCTCCCATTAACCAGCAGAAATCAGGAAGTAGAATGCCAGCTTGAGCCAGATGACAGAGCCACACTCTGAGTTCAAGCTCCAGTATGGGTGTGCATGAGCATGCACACACACACACACACACACACACACACACACACACATACACACACAGAGATTCCACTTTCTAAGTCTCAATGATCCCACCAGTCAGGAAACAAGGAGACTTTGATTGCCACAGATGACTGACTGCCTGGACAGTTTCCAAGCTGTAGTACAGAGGAAGAACCCTTGCCAGGAAACTCCCTCTGTTAAGAGAGAGCTGAGGGCTCTGGGAAGCTAAAGGAGCTAGAGTTTGCATGGCAGAGTCCTGAACAAGAAAGTGTTCCATGGAAGAAATGCCCTAGAGACTTTGGGCAGAGTACGGGCTGGTACATCCATGAGAGGAAACTCTCCAAGGGCAGGTAATTAACATCAAGTAACTTGAGCAAGGCCAGGAGCAAGTGACTCAAGCCTGTAATCCTATCTACTCAGAAGCCTGAGATCTGACAATCATGATTCAAAGCCAGCCTGGGCAGGAAAATCTGTGAGACTCTGATCTCTAATTAACCATCAGAAAACTAGAAGTGGCACTGTGGTTCAAAGTGGAAGAGCACTAGCCTTGAGCAAAATAGCTCAGGGACAGCGCCCAGGCCCTGAGTTCAAGCCTCAGGACCAGTACCAAAAGAAAGATGAGAGATGTGAGCAAATGATACCTGCAGTTTCTACAGGGATGGCAGATATGCCAGTAGCCACCAAACCAGACTGGAAAATCTAAAACTTCATAGAGAACTCAGAAAAGTTTTGCCTCAGCTATGAAGGAAATCAAGCTATAGAATCATGCTATTCTTGTCTCCTTTGTACAACTGATGAAAAGACTCTAAAGAATCAAACTTTCTCTTAGTAACATCATTGCATACTAGATAATGAAGTGTAAGACTAGTTATAGGAATTTAAGTTCATCTCACACAACATGAAGTCAAAATTAACAAAAATTACCAGGCTTGTAAAGAAATATTGGCAGCCCATTCTCCATGTTTCTTTTGAGTTTCCTGCTTATCTTGTGAAAAAAGGCTTTGACTATCTGTGTTCTGATCAGTCTTTCACACATATTTATATAGCAAAGAACCTTGGTAGACAGAGTGTCTTCATGTGAAGTGAAGAGCAGGCTTGCTTATTACCTCAGAAGATAAAAGTATGTACTATCTTCCTCCAAATCAAAGAACAAGCATACTTCCCCACCTTTATAAAAGATTCAGATCATTTATGCTTATGATTCTATCCTTATGACACAACCCACTAAGTGTACAGGTATTACCTGGTCTACTTTGTGTCACCGTGAGAACTGGGGCTCAGAAAAAAATGGTAATAAGTATTAATGGTATGGCTACAGAGGAAAGATATGGCAGGATACAAAAAAGAGTTGTTCATAAGACTGACTTCCATAATGCAACTCAAAAAATAGAAAGACTCTATGCCATAGATTCAAACAAAATAAATTAGCTTTATAAAAATGTGGCCATGTGTGGGAGTATTGGGAGGCTGAAGCAGGAAGATACCAAGTTCAAGGCCAACTTGGGCTCCATAGCAAGACCCGGTCTCAAAGAAACAGGAAGTGAAGAAAGAAGTAGAGAAAGAGAAAAAGAAGAAAGTTTATGCACAAATAGAATTAAATCACAACAGAATTGAAATAAGGTATCTTACTTTCTAAGTTTCCCCAAAAGTTTATACCAAACACAAAAATGTGTTTGTTAATACAAATAATAAAATATAACTTAGAAGTATAACCACAGTACAGTGTATAAAATGAGGTGGCAGAAATATAAGAAGATAGTTGTGTCCGTAGGATAATTGGATCACGTTATCTAGTTTCAGAAGTACTCAGGTTGAGTTAAATTCAATATATTTGTAAAGCTTAAAAGGATGAAGTTAGAATAAATGGATATCAAAAGAGAACATGACAAACCAAGTAAGAATTTTAGCCAGAAGTCTCAAATAAGAAAGAGTTAGCTATTCTATACTGATGGAAATTTAAATCCCTCATTAAATATAAGAGTGATAGATCTTCATGTGTCTGTCCATAGTATGGCAAGACACAATACAAAAACAAATCTGTTGGAAATTCAATGGGGAATTCACAGATAGAGTATTATCCACAATGACAGAACAAATCGCCTAAAAATGACCTTAGAATGGTTTAAAACTGTGATTAACAGTGTAC